GTGTTGCTGTTAATACTCATTTCAGCTTGTCATTAAATAACCAAAAGGTTATTAATCGTCTTAAGACAATCAAAAAGAGGTTCAATATAATCAGTAATATTCTCAGTCAAGAGGGATTCTCTTGGAATCCAAATACAGATACAATCGACTGTGAAGATGACGATCTTTGGAAGAGATATGTTGCTGTAAGTTTTAGCTTGTCATGCTCACTTTTTGTTCCAAACTTTGATTAATACCTTTTTTTTGTGTTTTGGCGTTCCCTTCTCATTGTCATCTCTCTTAGTTTCATAGGATACTTTGTATTTTCTGCTAGCCTGATGCCATTGTACAATATCTAATATGTTATTAGGCACACCCTGATGCTAGGGCTTTCCGAGGAAAGCAGATAGCCATGTATGATGAAATGAAAATTGTATGTGGAAATTATCAAGCTCCTAGTCGCTGGAGTAGAATGTCAGCCAAAGTGAATGGAAATCCAGTGATAGAGTGCAAGTACGAACAAGAATCTGGTTCATATCTGTCAGCAAGTTCAGACCATATGAACGATTCAGATGGAACCGAGACACAGTCATCTGCCAAAGAACCAGTATATACTGAAATGGCTGCTAATAATGAAGATGAAGATGAGCCCGAGGCTCAACCTGAGAGGCAAGCTGCAGAACGGACTCGTAGCTCAGAGACTCTTCAAGATGCAATGTTAGCGATAGCCTCAAGCATCCGGCACTTGGCTGACACAATTGAGCAAAGCAAGTACACCATTGACACCCCTGCTCTTTTGCAAGCTGTGATGGAAATCGAGGGTCTGGAAGAAGCAAAGCAAATGTATGCTTTCGAGTCTTTGAATGAGGACCCCGTCAAAGCCAGGGCCTTCATGGCATATAACAGAAGACTGAGGAGAATATATTTGTATCGACTGTTTGGCTGGTGGAGATAATATTTTGATGGTCTATGACTCTATTCTACTTCTTGGTCCTCTACTTTTGATGGATGAGTGTATTTACTCTTCAAAATTTTCTTGTGGAGCATTCAGTGAAGTGAATGCTGTCCATGCATAAGAACTGTACCCATATTTAAGCTGACACAGAATTGTACAGGAATGTTGTACTATGATATCCTTGTGCTGCTTAACTGAAAGTTTTATCAGATAACTTGCAACTTTTTTGCCTTTTTGTTGTGAAGAAATTCCATTTCAATTTGACCTGCGGATTCCACTTGTAATGCGTACCATTGCATATTCAAATACTTCTATTTTGTTATTTACTGCTTCTAATTATAAATTTATACCATGGTTAATCTATTGTCGAAGTCATTTTTCTTACAATTATCTAGAGTTTAACTTAATACTATTTGTTTCCACCAACACTTGCCTCCCTACTCCTTCGGGTAGGGGTAAGGTCTGCGTACACACTACTCTTTCCAGACTCCACTTGTGGGTTTTTAGTGGGTCATTGTTGTTGTTGTTTCCACCAACACTTGGACACTATTATTAATCATTAGTATTCAAAAGTTTCATCACAACACTCTTCTTTATTCAATCGCTGGGGTTTTCCTTTCCCGTGTAATTACTCCTATTTCAACCCCAACCACGTCTGAATCAGTACCAAAGTCCACCAAATGTATACACAAACGTGCTAACACGAATAACACAAAATGTATCATTTCCCAACAACTCAATTAGCCAAGTTAAGCAACACATAATGTATTAAACTTCTTTATCCCCAAATGACTGAATAACTTATAATGTGACTGACCTGGGAATTGGGATCGAACCCCCCTCAATGCCTTCTGGGTCGAGCCTTACATCCCCTGTGTGGTTTACAGGTTATTACACAGTGGGGGGTTCACTCAGTGCGCACAGAGGTGCTCACCCCAAGGGCAGAGGCTGTAGGTGCTGCTGGTTTTCCTGGGGTTCCAAAAAAAATTATACTGTGACTGAACTTAAGTATCTTATCTAGTAACGTGTAATAAAATCACTCTATTTGTCTCTTGTGGCCTTACCTAATAGTGTCTACTTCATTTAAATATTTCATCATTAACGGTCGACCAACATTAGATATATTTTTATTTCAGAAATTTTAAGGATATTCATACCAAAATGAACATGTCACCGACCTATAAACAAATATTCACTCCATATTATTTCATGAATCTGGAATAAATACATTTGTCGATCATGCTCATCATTTAGTCTATGTTTTACATCTTACTTTAGGTCTGAATCCTACTCAACATTTGTCAGATCACACTCAACATATAGTCTATATCGTCTGATCATACTGAACATGTGGTCTATGTCTTAAAGCTAAAGTTATGAATCCTCTCAAAAGTTGTGTTGTCTGGTTAGTATATGCGAGTTGATTTCTCATAAGAGAAATTGATTAGTAAAGTCACTTTACTTTGTTTTGTTACCGAAAGGTTATTCAATTTTGTTCTTTGGAATTACGGAGTCACTCTATACTTTTAGGGGATATTTGCATTTTTCTTTTCAACTCAACCATTTAAAAAAGTAAAATACACCCGCTAAAATAATTTACCGACCCTACCCACTAGACCTTTCTCTTCTTTTTTTTAAACAAATAAATTGTAATGTGTCAATTTTATTCTATATCACTCGGCCAAAAGTGCTAAATATACCTTTAATATTACCAATATTTTATACTGTATCAGTTTTATATAATGTAAATATTATGTCATATTTACTATCTATACATATACTATACCAAATATATAAATTGTATATATATAATATAGTACATGTAATTAAAGAAAATATATCATACATAATGTTTATAACTTTATATAAATGTGATATATTCGATACCATTAATATATGGTATATGGTTTATCACTTATACTATACATTTAAAAATATATAAGTATCACCAACAAATCTGCAGTAACATGTTAAAATAATATGTGCTATGCGAAACTTGAATTCTAAAAAAAAAAAAAAAGATATTTTGCCAATATGAAAAGAAAATAAGAAAGAAAGACACTAGAAAAGAATTGGATGAAAGAGGATGTTGCCAATATAAAAACAAAATGTGATAAAAACTATAACATTTAAAAAATATTGCTGTATCATTCTTCTCAGCAAAGAAAGGAATGTGATAGAACATGTCCATTTTATTGACTTTTTCCCCATTTTTAGAATAATAAAAACTATACCTCGTATATATACTTCATCCACTTTAATTAGATGAATATTTTAATTTGACTATTATCATTTCTAATATATTATATATATATATATATATATATATATACTCCAAACGTTTCAAATTAAATTTAATCCGTAGGTTCGGTCGAATCCTGTAGCTTGGTTCGAATCCTGTATTTCTCTAAAAAAATTATTGAATATATATAAATTATTAATTTAGAATCCAGTAACTTAAAACGGTTTGAATCTCGAACTCATAAGTTTGAAATCCTGACTCCGTTTCTGCTAGGGTCTGTTCTAGATTATCTAAGATACCGAGCCAAGAAATGGACATGACTGACTTCATAATGCATGATTGAACAATGTTAGTCCTTTCCCGGGAGAAACGCAACAGAAATGACCAAATTTGCACCAAATTTAAATTTGGCGTAAAATTTAGTGTTTTTTTGCTCCAATGGAACACCAAGTCTTGCACCATTATAGTGCATGAATAGTGTTGCACCAAATTTAATTTATTATTATTTTATTCATCTTTTCATTTTTTGGACTTTTAATTTATCATATATTGTGTATTTAATTAATTTTTATATTAAGATCTTTATAATTTTAATTTTATATCCTATTTTTTTGATATATTAATTTTTGTATATATTATATTTATATAAAATTATAAGTTAATTTTATTATTATTATAATTGTATAAAAAGAAATATAACCATTATTTAAAAATAAAAAATACAAATGTAAGATATCTAAACTAAAATTGAAAAGTGAAAACTAAAATTTAAAAAAGAAAATTAACATACATAAAATAAAATTCATTATAATTATCTTTTATCAATGATTTCACTTTTAGTTGATTTATCCTTTAAAATAATTTTGTAATAAATGATTATATAAGCGGTGAGTTTATATATAATGAATATGGAAAAAAGAAAAAAGATAGTATTTGTTGAAGGAAATAAAAAATAAAATTTAAATAGAAGATAATAATATAATATAGAAGAGAGAGAAGAAATATTATTTTTTGGTGTAAAAAATGGTGTAATGATCGGAGTAAATTTAATGTTACACCAATTTCGTGTGAAATTTGATGTTAGGGTTGGAGATGGTCTAAAAGAACAGTTTTTCCAAGTTCAAGACAACATGCATTATTTGACAAATCAAACTAATGGTAGGACTAGGTTATATTGTAGAGAAATCGAATTTATTAAGCATATTCCGAAACGGGAAAATTAAAAAAATATCTACAATTCTATTTTCGTATATATTTTATATTTACGTCTATGAATATACTTTTTAATAACTAATATAACCTAGTACAGTCAAACTTCTCTATAACAGTCTTGTTTGTTTCGAATATTTTTGGTTGGTATAGTGAAGTGATGTTATAGGGAACATATATTATAACATAACATGAACATTAGTTCCGAAAAAGATTAACTTTTATAGGGAAGTATTGTTATATAGGGATACTGTTATAAAAATGTCTGACTGTATTTGTCTGACGAAGCTTCAGTAGTGGATTATGGTTGCTAGCTAGTTCTTGTTTTCTCGATCAACACAGGTCCGTTACGTTAATTAGATGGTTTGTTCCTGGCTCAAATTAACTTCATCTTTAATTACGATTTCTTGCCGACTCAACAGACCTTCGAGCCATTCTTCGACCTTTTCTTTTGACATCTTTTCCCTCCCAACAAAAATAAAAAATAAAAAGAAAAACCTTTAACTTCCAGTCTTTCACAACCACATGACTTTTCCACTCTAGTACACTCCACTATAGCTTCATCCCTCATACACTTTCCCTATAAATATGGCATTATAATTTCACCAAAAAACCTAAACCAATACTGAAAATTAAGAGAAGAAAGAAAATGGAGAGAGTTAATAATTATAAGTGGTGTATGGCATTGTTGATCATCTGCATGATGGTGGCAATGGCAGCGGCACAGAGCGCCACAGTGAGATCAACGTATCATTTATATAACCCACAGAACATTAACTGGGATTTGAGAGCAGCAAGCGCTTTCTGCGCTACTTGGGATGCCGACCAGCCTCTCGCATGGCGCCAGAAATATGGCTGGACTGCTTTCTGCGGTCCTGCTGGACCTCGAGGCCAAGATTCCTGTGGTAGATGCTTGAGGGTACGACATTTAATTTTTGTTACTACTAATATCTTACTATCGGATTTAAGTTATATATATATATACCTCTATCAATGCAATTTAACGTGCTATAGAAGAATATAGGCAGGTTTTTAACCTTATTTTTAAGGTTACTATATCAGGTTTGTCATGAAGAGTTACCTATTGTTTGTAGGTCAACTTTACCTTATGGTATATTGTCACTGTACATAATTTAACTCTGTAGTTTATTTTAGAGTTTAACTTGTCGGTAGCTGTCAATATGGTCCGGGCCAGGTTAGCCCAGTTCAGCCCACGTCGGCTTTAGCAATTGAAAGGCTAGGCTGGGCTAGCCCATCATTTTGATGGGTCTTATAATGGTCAGTCCACCCCAGCCCTTGTGGGCTGCAGGCTCCCACGGACCGGCCTTTATTTATTAAATATAATTTTATATTTTTTCTTTAAGTTATAACCTAAGAAAGATAAATATTTAAAAAAGTTAAAAAATATCTTAATTGAAAAAATTTTGCAAAACTTAATTACTTTTTATACTGTTCCAATATATCACAATAAACACTAAAAAGTAAAAGACAAGACTGTATTTCATTCACTGAAAGTGAAAACAAACTATTCAAGAGAGCGTCCATGATACTTATGGGATATTCTGCAACAACATTGCATCAAACACATTTGAATCTGCTTGTGACAAAGTTGTCTTAACATCTTCACTTTCATCTATATCTACAATTCATATGCAATATTAATTACTTAAATATTAAGAATAATTAAATTTTAAAAACTAATAATATTCAAATTCACATAAAAAAAATTACCAGTTTGAGTTTGGAAAAAGCCGTGCAGCCAATTTCGAGTAGTAACAAGTGTTTGGACATTTTCATGATGGATGCAACTTCTGTACTTTGTCAAAATAAGCCCACCAATGCTAATGCTAATTCTGATGCAACAGTGGTAATGTGAATACTAAGTACATCACGCGCCATCATCGAAAGATCGGAATATTTCTAGAATGGTCCTTCCACTACATGACAACATCTATCTCTTGGAACTTCTCAAGATCAAGCTTTGGTTCCTCTAAGTAAAGATCCAATTCTAACTTTCCATCGCTAGTGGCAGTATACGTTTTATATTCCATATATTATAAATAAATATTTTTATTAGGCCCACAGGCCGGCCCATCCAGCCTCAGTCAAGCCTCACGGGCCACAGGCTTACTCGGGCCTGGCTTAAAAACCTCGTTTTTAAATGTGTTCCAAAAACCCTCGCACAACCCTGCTAAATCACGGGCTGGACTGGCCCAACAGGCCAAGCCCATATTGACGGCTCTAGTATAAAAGCATTTTGCACTATCGAATCGGCTAATGAAAATGGAATTAATAACTTGGCAAAAAGGATAAGGAACTTACTACAAGTTTACTATTAGTGTAAAAATTCTTCATATTGTGAGCGTATGTAATGACACGTTTTTGGTTAAAACGTTTACTATAAGTAAATTATTTGAAAGAGAAAATACTGTAATTATAAGTAGCAAAGTAACTAAAAATACTGAATATCTGGATATGTATTAATGGTAAAGCTAAACGCAGGTGGCGAACACAGGAACAGGAACTCAAACAACAGTGAGAATAGTAGATCAATGCAGCAATGGAGGGCTTGATTTGGATGTAAAACGTCTTTAACCAATTGGACACAAATGGAGTGGGCAATCAGCAAGGCCACCTTACTGTCAACTATGAATTTGTCAACTGCAATGACTAATTAATCTGCTTCCAGATATATTAAGTACCATCATAAAAAACCACAATAATTCATATATATATACTAGTATATCTTATTTTTCAGACTCGTTTAGAATAAGAAGGGGCTGAGCTAGCTTTTAATATAGTATAGTAATTATCTGAAAGCTCTACATGCCCTTCACTATTAATTAATAAAATAAAAACTTGTTCTTGTTGTTAGTGCTATATGGAGTGAATGAATGAAGCACCACTTAACATGATCACTTGCTTTGTGTTGATTATGTTGCTTGTTACTTAAATAGCTAGCATCTCCCCTTTTTAAGGCAAGAAGGAGTAAATTAAACATACTTAATTCTCTGGAAAAAAAGTCTAAGGACCCGTTTGTTTCATAAATGTGTTTGTCTGTGAAATTTTTATAAGTTTTTATAGAAAAAAAAATTGAATTTCAAAGAAATATTCTCCACCCACAAAATTACAACATTTTTTCAAGTAAAATGTATGTCCAAACATAATTTCAAATTCCAAATATCATTTTTCAACTCGACTCCAAATACTTTCGTGTCTCCTCATCATTGATCGAAGTCCCTTTGGATTTTATTTATTTCCTTCGTTACAGTGCTAGGGAGTAAGTTGCAACTTGCATGGCATCACATGATCTGAAATTGATGCTACTATTGATTTAGCTAAGGTGGTCCGACCTACAACATTAACAAATTCCCTTTTCCAGCCATTTGTGCGAGTGTTTATGACTCAATTTAGTTTGTTTATTTTTCAAAAAGAAAAGGAATTTATATATAAACCGCCAGTCGAATACACCGAAAATCATACCAACTAATTTCTGTTTTTTCTTTCACTGTTGTCAGTTTTTAAAAATCTTGGCATACGAAATACAGATTCAAACCATTTAATTTATTCGAATTATATAGATAAAAAAAGTTTCACAAGTCAATATATTTTACGCAAGAATTAAACAAACAAAACTAGGCACGATCTGTTGAAATATCCTTATGTTGTAAATTTCTCTATAGTAGATGAGATTTGCTCTTTTTCATCAGTTTCAACTCGAAGAAAATATCAAAGAATTGTAGAGATCTAATCCAAAGAAGAAAAAGAAAAAGATAGACAAGACAACTAAGAGCTCGTTTGGACATAAGAATTTTTTCACCTTTTTGTCATAAAATTTTCAATTTTCACTTGAAGATAAATTTTTTAATTTTTCGATTATTTGAAAAACTCCAAAAAATTATTTTCCAAAATTTTCACTCAGATCACTCACAAAAACTCAAAAAATAATTCAAAATTATATTCATGTCCAAACACAACTCTAATTTTCAAATATCATTTTTACTTGGAAAAAAAATCATTTTTTTTTGGAATTTTACAATTCTTATGTCCAAACGGCCACTAAAAATCGTTGAAGGAAGAAATCCAACAAAATTACAAGTTATACATGCTTTCAAGCTTAACCAAATTTTAATAATAAAAAATTATATATATCACCAAATGACTTCTAAGAATTTCAATATAGAATGCAAACTTAGGGCGTTTGGACATAAGAATTGTAAAATTCCAAAATAAACTCGAAAAAAATTTCAAGTGAAAATGGTATTTGAAAATTAGAGTGGTGTTTGGATATGAATATAATTTGGGGTTGTTTTTGATGTTTTGTGAGTGATCTACGTGAAAATTTTGAAAAACTGCTTTTTGGAATTTTTCAAAATTTTGCAAAATTCCAAAATGCATCTTCAAGTAAAAATTAAAAAATTTATGATCAAACGCTAACTTCGAAAAAAAAAATGGGAAAAATTTCTTTTGTCCAAACGGACTAATATGCAATTCAAACAATATGTTTAATTTTTAAGAATTGTTGAGGGAACTAATGATTCATATCAGTTGGTACACGTCGGCCGGAGCAATGGGTTGTCAGATTTGGCTACTTTCGCAAAAAAGAATAAAAAAGCAAAACGACAATTCATTGTCAGGCTGTCAGTCAGTCTGCTCGCACCTCATCCTCCATTTTTCCAAAGTTCTAAATCTTTAAGCTATAAAAGGAAAAAAAAATAACACAAGCACAACAAGAAAATCTGAGATAGAGAATATACTGAATTTAAAAATGGCTATTTCTGAAAAGCCCTCCAATTATGGCACACTTCCAACTTCCACCCCACCACCCACCACAGCTCATTCCGCGAGGAAACCCCCTCGTCCACCACCACCTGGTCCACTACCACCACAACCACACCGCCCCTCCACCACCTTCCTCTCAACAACCAGATCCAACACGGCCACGCGCCGTCCATGGCACGTGTTCTTCGACTACACCGTTTTCTCCCTTCCCTACAACTACTCCGAAGCCATGTCGCGCGTGAGGCGCAACCTCAACTACTTCCGCGTGAACTACACCATGGTAATCCTCCTCATTATCTTCCTCAGCCTTATATACAACCCAATCTCAATGATCGTCTTCTTAGTTGTATCTATAGCTTGGTTGTATTACTTCAGTGAAGAGCCAATTGTAATATTGGGGGCCCATTTAGACGATCGCCTTGTTTTGGTTGGTTTGGGTTTGGTTACTGTCATTGCCTTGGCGTTTACTCATGTGGGTCTCAATGTTTTGGTTGCTTTGGTTATTGGGTTTTGTGTTTTGGGCCTGCACGGGTCGTTAAGGGGAACTGAGGATTTGTTCTTGGATGAGAATGAGGCTGCTGAAGGTGGCTTGCTTTCTGTTGTCAGTTGAGGAGGAACAAATCAGCCCTAGTTATAGATAAATGCATTTTTCTGAAAGAAGAGATTTTGTTAATTATTCTTGGATTACATTGGTGAAGTAGTGGTTGCAAAAGTGTAACATGTCAAGGAACATTTCCAATTTGAAAAGATTGGATTTTTCTTGGAGGGGTCTGCCTATAGATAGGCAAAGGTGATTCTTTATACCTCAACACTATGAATTGGGATTGTTCTTTTGTTTTGATTATGATACGAATGAAGGTCGATCAAAGTGATGCCCTGTACTCAATTAAAAATTTGGTCAGTTTTGTGCTAAGTCTATGTGTTTATTAGGTTCTGTTAAGGTCAATTGTTACAATTCTTTGTTTCTTATCCTAAAGAAAAGGTTACATTTTGTTCATTTATGTCAATATGTGGTTCCAAGTATGGTATCTTTGTTCTTGGTGTTGTTGTTTGGATGAATAATATCAGCAAATGTGAATGCGGAAACACGTGATCTTTACTTTTACCCTCTTCTCAAGCTGTTATCATGGCTCCTTGTTGTTTTCATGTTGCCATTGTTATCCATCTTTCCATCTGTTTGAATTTCTTAGGCTTCTATCTTAGTGATCATTTATGCATAGCTATTTGCTAATATGATCTAGTAGCTTAATGTAATGCCAGTTAGCATGTGTTTGCAGAGTTAGGTATGTGATTTTGCTGTATAATGGCTGGATTGATTTGCCTTTACTATGTTTTTGATAATTTGTCCCTTAGCGCTCTTTGTCTTGGCCTTCTCCTTTCCCCTTCCTTGCCTGCATTGTAATTTGTGTTCTTCTGTACCTATTAACACCTATCAGAATGGTTCCAATGCTGGAATTTAGCTACAAGGGCTCATGCATGACCTTTGAAGGAGTAAAGTGGATTGCTCTTGAAACCTTTGTAGTGCTTTCGGTATCCCCTTGGAGATTGTACATTGTGGATAATGCAGTATACTGTTCATGTTTGTATTTGCAGGCCTATCTTTTACTACTGTGGGTTCTGAATTTGCAACTGGTTTTAAGTGATGTCGATGTTTATTCCACTCTAGTCAGGCTGCTATCCATATCTAAGGGTCACTTTCCAGACCAAAACATATCACTTCATTTGCTCATGGTTCATGCATGTATCTGTGTGATCGCGTTTATAAAATCTGGTTGTCACGGCAGTTAGCAACTTGAACTGGAAAAAGAAAGAATAAGTTGCTCTTTCCTTTTAGATATCATAAACTTGACAGATCCTTATCAAAAAAATCATAGACATGATAGCTCATAGCTGAAAATTCCAAGGTGTATGCAACAAACTAGGGAAATTTCTTCTTGTGATAGCCTTTCAAGTGTTTTTAACCTTATTTGTTTGTAACTTTGTATTTAAGCTATTCACACTCAGGGGAAGCTGACCTGAATACAGTTGAGAAAGAAATCAAATCCTTTTGCTGTTTATGCTGATGTGGCCTTGCATATGCATGTCCCCTGTTCAAGGAAAGTACTTAAATACATGATATATTCCTGTTTTTACCTGAATTTGTATCTGGTATATAACGTTGGTGTCTCAAGGAATATACTTTTGCCATCATATCATAATTATCGAATAATCTAAATGTTATGGCATGTCAGTCTGACCAAAAGTAGAGGGGCATATTTGTGTCTAATTTGAGTACATATTTAAACCAGATGTTTTAGCAAATTTGATTACACATTTAAACCAGATAGAATTATGTTTTAGTAAGAAGAATTTCAAATTAGATAATTGACATCCCAATTTACTTACTACTTTGGTAGAGTCAAAGCAAGTACCAATATCTGGCTGGAGAAATGTTTTTTACTACTATAGTGCAGCTGATTGGTTGTATTCGTGTTTTGACTGATTTCTTTTCATATCCATCCATAAAAGGTGGGATTGGCGACCTGAAAAATAAGACAAAATAAACTGCTATAACAGGTTAGATATGCTGATACAACAACAGCAGCCCAGTAAAATACTTATGGTCTGAGGCAGACCTTACCCTTAACCCGAGGGAGTAGAGAAGCTGTTTCCGATAGACCCTCGGCTCAAGAACTAAATATGCTGATAGTGTTTTTAAAAAAAGAATAGGTAGTGTTAATTTCTTTCTTGGTGGATAGAGAATATAGGAAGCGTGCCTGCTCGTACCCCTGCGGTATGTGTGTGTATTGAATACTTGACACTATTAATGAATTTATCCCACATTTGAAAATTTACAGGTCTAGTACAACTGACAAAAGGAACTGCACCCACCCTACCAAAATATCATATACGCTATTCAATTGTTTTAAATACAAGACCTAGACAACACCTTTTAACACATGGTGTTCAATTAAACACTATATGGCCTTTTAGTTTAGGTACATTGTGCCCTATTTTGCCTTTATTATACCCCCTACTTCTATAAAGGAAAGGACTTTTTCATCACTTTCTTTAGGCCTTTACAGAACACTGCACGAGTCCCTTGTCTCCTTTAAAGACATTGCTTTGTATAGCTTTTTCACCACCACGGAAAAGATATTGAATGGTCTAAATAATTTAGACTAAATTGACTCGTCTGAATTTGATTTAGATAATATTAATGGAAAGTTTCCTATACCTTCGAGTGAGAAAATCAAAGGAGCTTGGGACATACCATTGTTCCTTGTATAGTTTGTATAACCCAAGCATGATCCTCCACTTAAAAAAGATAAACATAAGTAAAATAAATTTTAAAGAAAATACTAAAAGGAAAAACTTGAGGTCTGTGGGAGGAACCTCAGAAAAAAGAAATTATATTGTGAGTATAAATTTCTGAAGATGCAACAGAATAAATCACTAGAGGGCAAAAGATCACATGATACATTCTGAAACTACCAAAAAAAGGGCATGTCCGATAAAATTATCTACTTGCTCCGGCAGAAGTCCTGTCATTATGCACTTTTTAACACCACTAACTCCTGGATGACTGAGAATTTTTCTTATTCTTGCCATGAAATTCTCTACCAGCCTCAACAGCTTCCCTGCAATTAAATTTGTACCTCACAACAATGAGAAAAGTTTGGATATAGAAACTACTGCATTAGACTAAGGTTCTACGATAAAATGATGCTAGAGAAATATCATCTACAGTTACTTTAAAAAAAAGAGCTTCGAGTTTCAACAACCTGAAAGCAGTTGCGAGCTCCATACTTTCAGGGTCGATCTGTACGCCCTCATAGAAGGCATTAGCTGCATCTTCAAATCTCTGAGAAGGAAATATTAGAATATCAGAAAATATGGCTATATAAGTTCGCAATATTTGACTCCAGGAGGACAAGGGCATGCCTGCAATAGCCGTAGAGCTGCCCCTTCCCGAAAACAAGCTTTTGCCCAATCTGGTCTAAGTTGTCTGCAGGCCTTGGCATCACTTAAAGCATGTTCAGCTTGCCCCAAGCGGATCCAACAAAGACTTCTATTCGAAAACAGAATGCCATCAGTTGGATCAAAATCGATTGCCTGCAGATTATCAGCAGAACACAAGCGAGCCCCGTAAGTGATGCAAACACACTAACTATCATCAGCAGACCATTGTCAAAATCTAATCCTTATACTTGCACCATGAAGAGGATAATTACATCCGTTCATCATTATCTTCTGCTTCTTTTTCCCTTTCGCATGTGTTTTACAGGAGGGAGGAGAGAGGTGGAATTCAAGAGGAATCCAATAAGCCTAACAAGTACCTGTGTGTAAGCATCCACGGCCATAGTGTAATCCTTCCTCTTAAATGCCTCATCTCCCCTCGCCTTCGCATCTGCAGCTTTCTTCTTTGCTTCAGGAGTCACCTGCAGATCAATTAATAATGCCGATGCAAGATATTTAGCACTATTCTGTAAACTGTTTCCCCAACAAAAGATGGTGTCAACGCTGAGATACTTCAAATGAAAGAGATGCATACAAGTAAAAACAAAGAGTATAAAAAGATACTGATCCTCTTTCCAATTTGAAGTCAGCTGAAATGGGAGTCTGGTACCACATCGCCGGTATGATTTCACTGACTATAAGAAAAACAATATGCATTTTGCAGCCCAAGGAAATGTTTCACTGTGTCAAGTATCGTAAGCAAAACTTGAACTGTTCCCACAACATTGTTCATTGGCACTTCTTGAAGACATTAATTCCCTTGTCCTCAGAAGCAGTATTATTATGTTTTTTACTACATATAATTGCACATGCAAATTCGATCTGTTGCCTACATCTTTCACGGATGTATTGTCATATTCACGATGAGAGAATTTACAATCTGTCTTCAAGAGTGCTCCACCAGAAGAAATGCAAGAACAGAAAATAATACATACATACATAAGGAGAAAATATGCTCGCTTTGTTCCATTTTCACAAATGATTTGCTTTAGTTCCAGAACTACCCTTCACGATAAGCTTATTCACTTCTGTTAATAATTATTATGGTAAGGACAAAACTAGAAAAACATGTGAAAATATTCTATTCTCTTGACATTATACAAAAAGGCAAATCTAAATAAATGTAACAGAAGGAGGGAGTTGATACTTGTCACGTACAATTTGATAACAGGATGACCAAAAATTCACACATATAAATAACAGTTACCACAATAACAAACCTCGGGTAAATCTTTCTTTGGAATAATAGTTTCTCTCGTGCTTGGTTCCCTCCCAACTTCTGTTCTTTCCTGCAATTATCACAGTGTAGACAAAGAAAAAGAAGCTGAAATTTGCATGAGAGAAGGAAAGGAAATAGTCACAGAGCTATGTCAATATTTGCAAGCAACTCCTAAAGAAGACCAAAACCAGCTGCGATTTATCTTACAGAAGAGCAAATTAAGTACCTGGTTTATCCTAGTTTCAGATAGGATAGGCTCAGATTGCATAAACTTAATGAGTCCATCCACACTCCATTCTGGAACACTCTGAATCCGTGGTGTGACTGCGAACAAAGCTTCAACAGCCGGCCGACAGCCCCTTGTAGCTGCAACATGTATTGGCTTGTTACCATCCTATAGAGATGGCAAAAGTTATATTTCGGTATTCAATTAACAGTCCTTGTGGAAATTGCTAATTCATTTTTTTTCCAATGACTTGCTCAAAATTAACAAAATTCATGATTAAAGTTCTGTGTTCACCCAGAAGAAAGTTCTGAATACCACGGAACCCATACGAATATATGTTAAATAACCAGACAACAGGTCCCTAAATTTGATCAGAATGAATCACATATTACTAAGTTGAAGATACAGTAGACCTAATGCACTAGCTTTTTCATTTATAGATGCCGATTTTCACCATAATGAATGATGAATCCAGAAGGCATGAGATAATTGAGCCTTCAGCAAAAGGTAAGCTGTAAAAAGGCTTCACGGACATTACAGAATGCAGTTTTTTGTTAACTCAATCTTACATATTTGAAATGTGAAATGTTTGTTTTAATGGAGTTAAGGGATTGCTTTTCTAATACAACTACTTTTGTTATATATTTTATTTGCAAACTATTTATTTGAGGAACCCAGAATTAAAAAATTTACAATATAAATGAAGTCAAAATAGAATTATTTTTCTCAACATAACTATAAACCAGTGACCCATAACCCTAAAATTATTAGCTCTCGCTGTAGGTCCAGGTTTAAGATCATATTCTTCAACTTCAGTAATCCCTCGGAATAGACGAATAAGGTACCTAGATTTTACAAGAGATCTGGATTCCCAGACCGAGATATTCATTTCAAATCTGAAAAAGAATTAGAGGGCAGTAGACTAGAAAGTGATAATAAGGAATATAATTGACACGTGCTTGCAGATAAACAGAACAAACGAAAAGAAACTTAAATTGTTTGGAATCATCTTTCCAACAATTGAAAGAAGAAGGATTCCTTAGAATTTCTTCCAAAAAAATGTGAAAACAACAAAGAACATTATATTCTGTAAAATTTTCTTTTCAGTTACCTCATCAGCGGCATTAGGATCAGCTCCAGCTTGTAGTAAGCACTTAATAATTTCTACACTACCATTATGAGCAGCAATGAGCAAAGGGGTTGCTTCACCAGCCCTAACATTGACATCAGCTCCTGCCTGTAGGGTAGCACAAAACAAGTTAAGCCTCGAGTAGACAGATGGCACGTTTAACCACGCAACATAGAAAATCCAAAGCAAAGGTAGTTGAGTTCCTGCTTTGGCTTATGCCTTGAAAAGTAAGATGCACAAAATTCATAAACCTAAGCAAAACCTCTCCTACACCTTAGAAACAAAGAAGGGAAAATTAAAAGAAAATCATTAAAATAAATACGACGTGGGTGTGAGCCATTAAAAACTGCTGCGAGAAGCAGAGGAGATCAAAACTTGTTCCATACATATTTTCAGGGGACCAATTTTTCCCGAAAGGCAAAAGGGAAAGAAAGCAAAATAGAAACAAGATAATAAAGCTGAAAATGATGACTATCCACCGAACAGAA